TCTCGCTGCCCAGGCGGGTCTCGAACCTGCGGGCTCAGGCAATCCACTCACCTTAGCCTTGCAAAGGCGCGGGATTACAGGCTGAGCCACTGAGACTGGCAAATTGTCCACTTTCTGAAGTCTACACCTGGAAGCATCTTTAGTCATGCCTCCTGACCCGGGGGGGAAAGTTCTTTAGAAAGTGTTTCTCAAGCATCCCTGGGGGAATCCTGGCACAGTCTGTGGAAGCTGCAAGTTCTCCCCAACAACTGGTAAAAACTGTTTTAACTCATTTAACTGATAACTGTCCCATGATTTCAACAACTGTATTTATGTTTCTGACTGGGCTGGCTTGAAGTTATACAGTTTTCTTAATAAGCAAATGAGAAAAAGGTTGCAGCAAGTTCTGTGTAAATAATGCTTCTGTGTCAAGTGAAGCCAAATGATGTCACGGTACACCAACAAACTAGATCAGAGAAAAGAGGGGAAAGCTAAGTAATCACACGGCATACCTGGCGCATGGCAGTCAGTACTGTTTTCACATGCACATGGTGATTTAATTTTAACCAAACATTACATTGACATTACAGTTTTAGATTTACAGAAGAAGAGCCTAAGTGTAAGGAGTCAACATATTATTTTGCTTTTGCCTATTTAAGTAACGCAAAAACAGTTAAACACAGGGGAGAGGTTCCATAATAACTTTTCCCTTTAAAATGGATCCACACACTATTCACCTAGGACCAACACTGGCTAAAGTCTACTCAACATAAATGAACAGTAGGCAGAAAGCAGCAACGATTTCTGTTTCAACGAGCAAAACTCAAACATAATAGAAGAATGCTGAAAGCTCTACCTGAAAAGAACACATTAGTGTTTCGTCCACACTCATCATGGCACCTGCATTGTCAAACTCTCCACAATAATTGGGGGCGGAAAACAGAGTGACCAACTGCCTCTTGGCAAAAAATTCATATCCATCTTCAACCACCTTGGAGAGAAAATGTTTTCAATATAAATAGGTGCAAATCTTAGGAAATTAAAACCACTTTTCAGTTTCCCACTGAACCTGATACCCTGTAGGTTGTTTCCAGAGACACTCTGTATAAATAGCAATACCTACCCACCAAAATCAACAAGGAGAATCTGTGCTCACACACATGCTCTTAAGTGTACATGTAAAATTCAAAATCAATACCTGATGGGCTCTACATATAAGATCCAAATCATGCTTATGGAGAAATTTTGCAACCACTTCTGCACCAAATGTGAAGGACACTCCTCTGTCATTTTCACCCCAGCCTAAGACATCTTTATCGGGGTCAGACCACAAAAGATCACAAAGAAGACCTTGATCTGGCACATCAGTTGGTCGCATTATTCGCCGAATCTGCTCCATAGATTGAAGATCTGGTGATAAACCTATCAATGAGAAAAAAGTGGAAGCAAGTCGAACTTTTATTTATTTACTTATTTATTTATTCATTTATTTGATTTACTGTAGAGACGAGGTCTCGCCAACTGGCCCAGGCAGGTCTTGAACCTGCAGGTTCAGGCAATCCACTCACCTTGGCCTCCCAAGCGCAGGATTACAGGCTGAGCCACTGAGCCTGGCAAGAAAATCTTTTTTTTTTTCTTTGAGTTGGAGTCTCACTCTGTCACCCAGACTGGAGTACAGCGGCCGCTCCTGGCCACCACAGTCTCGACCTGCTGGGCTCCGGCGATCCTTCTGCCTCAGCCTTCCAAGTAGCTGGAATTACAGGCATGCACTACCACGCCCAGCTAATGTTTTTGATTTATTGTAGAGATGAGGTCTCGCCAAGTGCCCAGGTGGGTCTTGAACCCGCGGGCTCAGGCAATCCATTCACCTCAGCCTCCAAAGCGCAGGATTACAGGCTGAGCCACCAAGCCCGCAAGTCAAACTTTTAAAAGGAAGTTATCACTTTAACAGTTCCATATGTCTAAGAGAGAGGTTCAATGCCTCTGAATGAAAACTCAAATCTGTGGCTATGTTGTTTATTTGCTTAGTTCTGGTTTAAAAAATGACAACTGAATACACACTGGAATTATATGCACTCATTCATGGGGCACAGTATGTTTAAACAGTACATGGAGACAGTTACCTCAACATACAGAACCCCGTTAAATACTACCACATCTATCAGAGCAGCTCAGAGGTAGTCTATTATGATCTGAGTTAAAATCGACATGCCTAGCCGGGCACTGTGGCTCATGCCTATAATCCTAGCACTTTAGGAGGCCCAGGAGAGAGGATTGCCTGAGCCCATGGGTTTGAGACCAGCCTGGACAACTTGGCTAGATCTCATCTCTACCATAAATTAAAAAATTAGTTGGGCATGGTGGCACATACCTGTGGTTCTAACTACTTTTGAAGGCTGAGGTGGAAGGATCACCTGAGCCTAGCAGGTTAAGGCTGCAGTAGCCATGATCCTATCATTGTACTCCAGCCTTGGTGACAGAGACTCTGACTCAAAACAAAACAACAAACAAAACAAAAATACAGCATGCCTGGCCTGGTGCGGTGCCTCACACCTATAATCCCAGAACTTTGGGAGGCTGAGGTGGGGGGATTGCTTGAACCAGGAGTTTGAGACCCACCTGGGCAACATAGCAAAACCTCATCTCTTTAAAAAAAAAAAAAAAAAAAAAAAAGATAGATAGGCTGGGTATCATAGTGCACACCTGTAGTACTAGCTATTTGGGATGCTGAAGTGGAAGGACTGCCTGAGCCTGGAAGGTCCAGGCTAGATGACAGAGTGAGACCCCAACTTAAACAAAAACAAAAAATCCCCCACAAAAAAACCACATGCCTAACCCTACCCAAACCTGGGTAATTATAGGAGGGCAGAGATCAAATACATTATCCTGGCTCTCTCACGGCTGCTCCCTTCTGACTACACATGAAAGAAACTTACCATTTTGATTATATCATATAAAGCACGACAACTGAGTAAAGCAAATTAATTTTTAAAATCCAAGTAAAAAAAAAAGATCTGAAAGGATTAAAACCAGGTTAAGGGAAAACCTGTGACATCTTCAGTGTTCTAAAGGGTCTATGGCACAGCAAGTTAAATGCTGCCCATCTGACAGTCAAAAATCCTCTCTGATCTTCTTTCAAAGCAAACTCAGAATCCAGCACTCCCTGTAACAAATCAACTGCTAATTTCCGACTTATTTCCAAATGATCATGGCTGGGTCAGAGTGAAGCTATGATGCAACACATCAACAAAGGTGCTGCCAAAGGAAATCATCCCCACGAGAACTCATACATGTCCAAGTGCCACCCTTTCCAAAGGAAACCCTATTTGGAAGAAAAATCATCCCACATACCTCCATGACAGCAGAATATTTTCTCATCCACGATGGCTGCTATCGGTAAACAGTTAAAACAGTCTGTGAAAGTTTTCCATAGTTTAATGTTGTACCTTCTTTTACCTGTGAAAATTTTAGGATTAAAATTCGATTACTGTTCTGTAGGCTCATTCTCTCAAGATAATTTCCCCCAAGCAAGGTTCTAATTACTGTTTACACAAGCGAAGTTATGCTTTTATTAAGACTCTCCTGGAGTACATTGAGGAGAATCAGATATACATAGCAGCACTTGGGAGATATCTGATCTATAAGCAACAACTTACATTTTCACATGAAATATTTTTAAATTCCACAGAGGTATGAAATCAGATTTCTAGATATGATAATGACTAAGGATTAAAATCCCAACTCTGAAACCTCATCTACTTTGTCCAATCTCCTCTATAGGTAGTTAGCTCCCTATTTCTTTTTCTTTTTCTTTTGAGTTGGAGTCTCACTCTGTCGTCCCGACTGGAGTGCAGTGGCCGCTCCCGGCCACCGCAGCGTCGACCTGCTGGCCTCCGGTGATCCTTCTGCCTCAGCCTTCCAAGACGCGGGAACTACACATGCACGCTACCACACCCCGGCTAATCTTTTGATTTATTGTAGAGATGAGGTCTCACCAAGTTGCCCGGGCGGGTCTTGCACACGCGGGCTCAGCAATCCACTCACCTCAGCCTCCCAAAGTGCGGGATTATAGGCTGAGCCACTGAGCCTGGCAGCTCCATTTCTAAAGGTGACTACGAACAGCTTACACATGTGCCATTATCGCCTTCCGAGGAAACCATCTGTCCCTTTCACCCCTCAATAGCCTGATGACACCAGATAGCCCCCACTCCACAATGCTCCACTGGGAACACAATGATTAGAGGGGAATCCAGACTGCTTCCTGCAGGTGCAACAGGGTGTCTGCTCCTCACACTGCGCACACTCAGAATGGAATGCTCCCAAAGGGACTGATGTGCCCCTTACCAGCACGTGGGCTCTACACAGCCTGGAGCCAGAGTGCCGCTCTAGATGCTTCTAAGACTGTTGCTACAGTCTTGTGTATATGATAAGGTTAAAACTACTCACAAAGGCTGGGTGTAGTGGCTCACACCTGTAATCCCAGCACTTTGGGAGGCGGAGGTGAGACGGTTACCTGAACCCAGGGGTTCAAGACCAGCCTGGGCTACAAAGTGAGACCTCGTCTTTACAATAAATAAAAAAAAAATTAGCCAGATGTGGTGGTGGGTACCTGTAATTCCAGCTACTTGGAAAGCTAAGGTGGAAGGTTTGCCTGAGCCCAGCAAGTTGAGGCTGTGGTGCCACTGCACTCCAGCCTGGGAGACAGAGTGAGACTCAAAAACAAACAAGTTGGGCTTGGTGGCTCAGCCTGTAATCCCACACTTTGGGAGGCTGAGGTGAGTGGATTGCCTGAGCCTGCGGGTTCGAGACCCGCCTGGGCAGCGAGACCTCATCTCTACAATAAAACAAAAAATCAGCCGGGCGTGGTAGCGTGTGCCTGTAGTTCCAGCTACTTGGAAGGCTGAGGCGGCCGGGAGCAGCCAGTGCACTCAAGTCTGGGCGACAGAGTGAGACTCCAACTCAAAACAAACAAACAAACAAACAAACAAACAAACTCACAAACCTTGGAAAAACAATTTGATTGACCTGGTTAAAGGCCCAATTGTTCAGGTGCCTTTGTCTCCTGCACAATCTTCATTCCTAAACCACAAGTTTGTCCTTAGTCTCTTTTCCTTTCTTATCCTGGGGGCTAGAGGGACCCAAATGAAGGGTTAAAACTATACTTCTCGTTTAGAGTCAGAGCTGGCCCAAGCAACAGGTTTCCTGAACCAGCCTTCCACCCCCTGGTGCAAACCACGCAGGGCTTGATGTTACACAGCTCCAACAAACATTTGCCTTCCCTCTCTGTAAAGGGGGACTGCTGCCTTTTCTCCCAACAGTTTCTCAATGCCTGGGACTAACTTGGGCCACGAATTAGTATTAGATTTGTTTTATATTTCTCTGGAGGCCATATACTCCGTCTGTCCCATATTCTCTTTCACTGCAGGGTCCTGGAAGCTTAAAAAATTCCTCCCCACAAAAGGCTAAAGGTGAACTTGTATACAATCACCACCTCCTATTTTCGATAACAAAAAAGTAAAAAATAAAAAATAATATAGGTTGAATATCCCTAATCTAAAAAGCTCCAAAATTGGAAACTTTTTGAGTGCTGACACGACACTCACAGGAAATGCTCATTGGAGGATTTTGGATGTTCAACCAGTGAGTATAATGCAGATATTCCAAAATCCAAAAAAGTCTGAAACCTGAAACACTCTGGTCCCAAGCATTCCAGATAAGGGATATTCAAAACACAGTCATACTGACTTAACCCCCAATTACAGAGTGACTTGGTTTTGTCTCCATTTCTCCTGATGCCTGTCCCTGCACGATATCCAATGGTTTCCCCAGAGAGCTTTCCTTTCCTAGATGCTGTATTTGCCATTGTCGGCCAGTCCTCACAACAGAAAAGGATCAACATTTCTGTTTCACCTAACAACACGTACCTCAGCCTTTCCAGCATCATATTCATAAAGTTTTTTTTTTTTGAGTTGGAGTCTCACTCCGTCGCCCAGACTGGAGTGCAGTGGCCGCTCCCGGCCACCACAGCCTCGACCTGCTGGGCTCCGGCGATCCTTCCGCCTCAGCCTTCCGAGTAGCCGGAATTACAGGCATGCGCTACCACGCCCGGCTGATTTTTTTTTATTTATTGTAGAGATGAGGTCTCGCTGCCCAGGCGGGTCTCGAACCCGCGGGCTCAGGCAATTGACTCACCTCAGCCTCCCAAAGGCGTGGGATTACAGGCTGAGCCACCGAGCCCAGCTCATAAAGTTTAAAAATAAGGAAATGAGAGTATACAGTACTTTTTCTACTTGGGAAGTAAGCAGTGGCTGCAAAACTGTTCCATATGTAGGTTTACATACCTATATATGAATAAAATCTCATTTTAATAAAATTATCCTTTTTTTTGGAGTCTCACTCTGTCACCCAGACTGGAGTGCAGTGGCCACTCCCGGCCGCTACAGCCTCGACCTGCTGGGTTCCGGCGATCCTTCGGCCTGTGATCCTTCCACCTTAGCCTTCCAAGTAGCTGGAACTACAGATGCGTGCTACCACGCCCGGCTGACTTTTGATTTATTGTAGAGATGAGGTCTTGCCAAGCTGCCCAAGCGGGTCTCAAACCCGCAGGCTCAGGCAATCCATTCACCTTAGCCTCCCGAAGTGCTAGGATTACAGGCCAAGCCACCAAACCTGGCAGACCTCCGTATTAAATAGAAACTGAAATAGATCTAGCCAATGTCATCACACTAGGATATATGTCAAAATGAGATCATCTGGATTTAAACTTCATCAATAAAAACATCAAAGAATCAGCTGAGCCAACAGTTATGTTAAAGGAACTCCTTCCTAACTCAAAAGTAACAGCTGTTAGCAAATACCCAAACACAATGTTACAAAAACCTCTGCTCATTTCACTAAGGAGGAGTAACTGCCTCACTAGCAGTACTTCTTTGATGCAGACGGTTTTTTTTGTGTTTTTTTTTTTTTTTTGAGTTGAGGTCTCACTCTGTCACCCAGGCTGGAGTCCAGTGGCACGATTACTGCAGCATCGACTTCCTGGGCTCAAGCAATCCTCTTGCCTTGGTCTCCCAAAGTGCTGGAATTATAGGTGTGAGCTACCACACCCGGCCAGACACACTGTTAATATCACATTATCTTTCCTGCATAAACTCAATTGTCCCCATCAGTGTAAAACCTGCAGAATTTTTCTTTCCCATGACCCCTCCCCCACTTCATCTTCAGCTGGATCTCAAGGTTGTAGACCAAGCAAGCATTCAGTTGTGGTCAAGGGTGGTGGTAGAAGAGCACAGTCTCTGAATGTAACCTTTCTAGGATCCACTCCTAACAAACAAGCTGGCTCAACACATCTGTGTGAGACTGAATGGAAAACCCCACACCTCCAGACACTGCAGGTTATAACTGTGGTCCAGAGAGAGCCATAGAGACAGCCCTCACATACCTCCTCCTCATCATATTCGCAAATCCCTTAACCACCCACCCCTCTACTCCCAACTGTCCTTCTGGCAGAAATGATAAACGCAGGAGAGTGGAGGTAAGAATTCCAAACTTGGCCGGGCTCGGTGACTCAGCCCGTAATCCTGCACCTTTGGGAGGCTGAGGTGAGTGGATTGCCAGAGCCCGTGGGTTCAAGACCCACCTGGGCAACTTGGCGAGACCTCATCTCTACAATAAATCAAAAAAATTAGCCGGGCAAGTTAGCGCGCGCCTGTATTTCCAGCTACTCGGAAGGCTGAGGCGGAAGGATCGCCGGAGCCCAGCAGGTAGAGGCTGCGGTGGCCGGGAGTGGCCACGGCACTCCAGTCTGGGCGACAGAGACTCCAACTCAAAAATAAAAAATAAATAAAATAAATTTACAAGTCACCACACTGCGCACTTTGTTGCTAGTTTGTTTCCCCTCCCCCAGACAGTATCTCGTTCTGACACCCAGGTTGGAGTGCAGTGGCACCATTATAGCTCACCATAACTTCAAACTCCTGGCTCAAGGGATCCTCCTTCCTCAGCCTTCCTAGTAGCTAGGACTATAAGCACATGCCATCATGCCTTATTAATTTTTTATTTTATTTAATAGATCACACTATGCTGCCCAGGCTGGTCTGTAACTCCTGGCCTCCCAAAGTGTTGGGATTATAAGCATGAGCCACTGCACTCAGCATATACTTTAAACAGATGGGTTTTATGGAATAAAATTATATCACAATAAAGTTGTTAAAAACAAAACTAACCACTCGAACAGGTTCTCAGAGTTGTAGTAAGAGTCAAGTTATCAGCCAGGCTCAGTTTCCAATTCCAACACTTTGCGAGGCCGAGGCGAGTGCATTTCCTGAGCCCACAGGTTCAAGCCAGCCCGGGCAACTTGGCGAGACCTCGTCTCTACAATAAATAAAAAATCAGCCAGGCGTGGTAGCGCATGCCTGTAATTCCGGCTACTTCGGAAGGCTGAGGCGGAAGGATCGCTGGAGCCCAGCAGGTTGACACTGGGGTGACTGTGTGTCACTCCAGCCTGGGTGACAGAGTGAGACTCCAACCCCCTCCCAAAAGAATCGAGTTATCTGTGAATACTCACGACAATTATCCTAAAAAAACCCAAACAAAACAAAACCACTACTGTGATCATCACTTCCTAATCTGATCATCACATCGTCAAAGAATCCATTTTGGCCTATTATATATTTGGCAGTGTTATTTTCTACCCAAGGGGGTGGGGGAGGGGGGAAGCTAAGACAAAGAAATAGAAATAGAGTTAAAGAAATAGAAATCGCAAGAGATAACATTTCATCTAAATTCTCACAAACTCTAACAGAAGTATGTGATAGCTCAGTTTATGACAGAGTATCTTAATTTAAATAACTATTCCTTGGATGTAGAAAGTACTCACATTCATCATAAAATCCGTAAATTCTATTGATGCTGGCACATTCATGGTTCCCTCTGAGAAGAAAAAAATTCTCAGGATATTTGATTTTGTAGGCCAGTAAGAGGCAGATAGTCTCCAACGACTGCTTTCCTCTGTCCACATAGTCCCCAAGAAACAGGTAGTTGCTTTCTGGCGGGAAACCACCGTACTCAAATAGCCGAAGCAAATCATAGTATTGCCCATGGATATCACCTAGAAGCAGGAATTATGTTACAAAGGTTTCCATACTACAGGGCAATCCACTAACAAAGCTTTGGGAAGACATTCTTTAAATATTTACTGCACAATAGCACTGACCTCTAGTAATGAGAATTCAGTTTGACAGCCAATACTAAGAAATTTCCAATCCTGCATATTTAGTTCGACTGAGCTTAATAAAAATTTTAAGTGTGTATGTCCAAAAGATTACACAAAACTCAACTAATTAAGAATTTATTTTGTAGAAAGGAGTATTATGTCCAGGCATACCTTCTTGCCAAGGAACATGGCTTTCCTTTCAGGTGGACTGATCAATATCAGATCTCTGACAGCTTAATCTCCGGCTACTATGTCAGCAGAACTGCTACATTTCCAGTGAGCCCTGGGCCCATCACAACAAAGGCACACACACGACACCCACCAACGCACTTGGTTTTCGATTTCTCCCTGCTAGATAATGCCAAAGAGCATTTTACATGCATACAAAGTTTTATCAGCGTAGTCAAATATGCTACAAAGAGTATGTCGTTACTCAAATAGTTTAGTTTTTATATTGAGTTAACAGATTATCTGCTTTTATTTATTGTGTAGAAAGCAGGACCACACAACCAGCATCAAGAAAGTTTTATTTTTAGATATAACTAGTGCTGCGCTAGGCTAAAATACAACCCTATATAACCATGTCATTCACACCTTTTCCTGGCTCTCCATTCTTAGTTTCTTTTTTCTTCTCAATGTTTATATACCTTCAGCGAAATAATGTTCTAAAAATACGAAGCACATCTAAGTAAATTAAGTCCTTTTGCGGCATTACTTCTAAAGTTACTATTAATTTAATTGCAAGGTTATTTTGTAAATAGAAAAATGATTCCGCTAGCTCATACAAGATCATCCTCAACTCAGCCAACCAATCATGCAACCATGGCCAAAACCTACCACATATCTTCAGTGGTGCTTCAAGTTCTAGCAGGATAGGCTGACTGAGAAAGATCTCCCGAGACTTTAAGCACAGTCCTCTGATTTCATTCTCTTGCAACTGGACATTCTTACCAGGCTTGGACCCTCTCACTGTAGGGAAAAATTCACAAAAATTAGTCCAACGAAGCCAAAATACAATCTAACATGCAAGTTTTAGATAAAGCAGGGCAAAAAAGTTTAAGGAGCTTTTGGAGTAGCTTCATTTTCAGGACACTTAGGAAGAACACGATTTTAATGCCAAATTAGCATTACAAAATCTTAAGGCAGAACTTCAGAGATATAGTTGATCTTCTATACCAAGTAAGATCTACTTATAGTATCTTTATAGTATCCAGACAGGGCCACCCTGTCTGTGCATGAGTGCTGTTAGAAGGTCTTCCTATAAACTACCCAGCTCCCGGCCTCAGTCGCAGCTGAACCAAACTGGCCCTGGGCACCTGCAACCCGCTCGCCAGCACAGCTCTGCCTCCAGTTTTCTGTTTTCCAGCTTTATAAACCAATCATTATCTGTACAGCAGATTTCAGAGACTGTCATGCTACCAAATTTTTTCTGAGAACTGCTTGTTTTAACATGTTATAGAAATGCTCTGAACCCTCCCGCATCAGTGTTTCAGGGGACCATAGGTATCTCCTCTCAAGGGTCCTGGTCTTGTGAAGAAAAAATTTAAGTGTCATTTCCATTTCGTTTAAAAAAAATTGACCCACTGTATATATTCTGTTATGCAATTTCTGGCCCGCACTTGTGTTTACATCATGCCTGTAAGGACGTCAGCATGTGTTGTAAGAGGGGATGTTTCCTAGCAGTTTGAACAGATAAAAAGCAATGGGAGAAAGAAAGTACACACGGGGCACCCTCAACTCCAGAGTGCCACCCTCAGGGCCCTGCTCACTATTCAAGCGGAAGGCTGTGCAACACAGCTCGTTTATCACCAGGAAGGTAGTAGTGGACAAGAAATCTTCTGCTTCGGTTCCAGTTGCAGCGAAGTAGACAGCTACTAAATAAAAACTAAAAAGCACTGAACTGCTAAATGTGCCTTAACTTTACAGTTATGAAGTGGCCCCCTCATGAAACTGGCAATCCAGCAAAACTATTTGCTGGTAGTCTGGTGCCTCATTATCCTCAACATGCTTGAATCCAAGTCTTTACACTTGTTTAAAAGATTTATCAAGCCAGGCATTCTCTGAGTTAAAATTGAAGTGAAAACATAGGGACAGACTGAATCTAGAACTTAAGGCTCTAACACAAAATCCAGTATCAAGTGATTTAGTTTTAGTAAGACCATAAAAATCTATCAGATTAAATTCATGCTGCTAATTTAAATTTTATTGGTTTTGGGGCTTAGCAGTCAAATCATAAAAACATTTGGACTAATACCTGAGTTAGAGTAGTAAGTTTAACTGGTTTGTATCTAGCTTTGTTCTATAAATAGCTAAGTAACTATATTACAGATTAACATAAACACTCAAGTAAAAAACCTGATTTGTTGAGAATCTTTTTCCATTAAAAGAGTTGAATCTAAACCGCGCTCGGTGGCTCAGCCTGTAATCCCACGCCTTTGGAGGCTGAGGTGAGTGGATTGCCTGAGCCCGTGGGTTCGAGACCCGCCCAGGCAACCTGGCGAGACCTCATCTCCACAATAAATAAAAAAATTAGCCGGGTGTGGTAGCGCGCGCCTTAGTTCCAGCTACTTGGAAGGCTGAGGCGGAAGGATCGCTGGAGCCCAGCAGGTCGAGGCTGTGGTGGCCGGGAGTGACAGTCTGGGTGACAGAGTGAGACTACAACTCAAAAAAAAAAAAAAGGGGTTGAATCTAAGTTTGAGGACTACTGCTCTGGATAAAGTCATCTTCAGCCTGAATGGCCACCAAAACTACAAATTCGCTGAAGCAACAGCTGTGTGTGGGGTGTTATTTTTTTTCAATGAAAAATAAAAAGCAAGAAAGCACGACAAGAGAGAAGGAACAAACTTGCAGCACACATGAAGTTAAAAAAGGGCCAGGCTCGGTGGCTCAGCCTGTAATCCCAGTGCTTTGGAAGGCCGAGGTGAGTGGATTGCCTGAGCCCGCGGGTTCGAGACCCACCCAGGCAACTTGGC